CCATAAATTCTGAGAAAAATGCACTTTCTGGTTACCCTGGCCTAAAGACAGCACACAGACAAGTAGTATAAAGTTAATTTTCCTTGTGGTATGTATCCTAACTTGTGACTACTTAAGTTCCTATGCACTCCCAATGTAAAGAAAGCAAATTTCATAACAAAGGTTTTTAACTTTGTCTTTCTTAACCAACATTGACAGGGAGAATTATAGTGTAGTAAGCAAGGTGCAAGAATTAAAAAAAAAAAAAGGAAACTGAGATATAAGCTGAATATTTCATGATATCTTCCTATCAACTGTATAAAATGGCTAAAACAGCCTTGCAAGTTAATACAACTTGCTAAACCAATATCTGAGGATCCAATACAATCAAAGATCACAATAAAACAGAAAAATGGGCAGGAAATCAACTCTAATTGATTTCAGAAAGATCACCTGATCTCAAATCCCAGATCTGAGCGGTATCAGATCTGACACTTATGATAAGATCAGTCACCCAATTTCTCTGAATGTTCTACACTGTCATCTATAAAAGGGGCATGAAAACAGTACCTCAGGATTGTGCAGGCAGATTAATAAATTAACAGAGGTAAAGCACCTAAACAGTGTCTGGCACCTAGAAACTAGCTCTCACCATTGGTTAACAGTTGTAATAACCCTGATCGTAGTCACTATGATTCCCAGAGCAGGGAGGAATCAGAAATGCAATTATAGCAGTGATTTTTGCATTTAATTATTTGGTGGTTTGTAGAGAGTTGGAAAATGGCACAGTTTCAAATGGAGAAAAATCATGCTTCCAAAGATACTACATACTAAAAAGTTACTAAGACTTTGGAAAGGAGAAATGTAGTTGACCCAAATAATTCACTTCCTCGACGTACATAACACCTGTATGCAAAGTTAGATCTCAAGACTTCACAGAAAACATGAACAGCACCTTATGCAAGTGTTTTTGTGGCAAAACAGTGATTTCTAGCAGGCTAGGTAGCTAGCATCATGTTGGGCCACTGAAACTTTAATTTAAAAAATTTCCTCAAATGTACATTTTGTCAAACTAAGCTGCTGGCTCCATATTACAACTCACCAAATGAAGGTCTGCAGATAGGAAACTTCAAAGCTGAAGAAATATTAAAGTATAACCTAACAAGATGAATGCAATCTACCATATTTTTTACCCCATATTACAATAATGGATCAGGTATCAGTCAAAACTCAGTTCGAAAAAAGAAAAAACAACAACACTGTGCTATTTTACACAAATGACCCTTAGAATGAAGATGTTATTTCTAGATTATTCCTTTAGGAAATGCTTTGTAAAGACTCCACCATGAGACATAATTCAAGTGTCTTCACGTCTTAAATAAAGCTCTGCAAATTATAAATGCAAGTAACTTTTTCTAAGTCAAAGAAATACCTAAGCATGAAAGTAAAGACTAATGAGTACTGGGCCTCCCTGGTGGCACAGGCAGTTGAGTGCAGCGCTGTGAAGCCGTCCGCAGCCTCTGCAGCACGGGTTTGAACCCAGCTGGCCGGTGAGAAATCCACATGGAGCAGCAAACCTCTCCTGTCTTGCCCGCTGCTCCCCTCAGCAGTGGATTTCAGTCAGTCTGCGTGTTCTGTTCCCTGCTGTCTCTGGTGAATCCTCTCACCCTCCCGCACATCTGGCCTGTACCCCAGTTCTTGTATGCATAGATAAATAAATCTTTAAAAAAAAAAGACTAATGAGTACTAAAAGAAACTTTAGTTTTTAAGAACAAACACTAGAGGGGAAAATAGAAATGAGCTGTTATAACCTTAGGGTTTAGGTTTCATGGTTCTGTTGACTTTGAATCCTGAGCTTGAGTTATTTTTGAGAGAAAGAATTCATCAATTCCCAGCATATATTCTGTCCAGTTCATGCTGCAAACTTGGACCATGTGCTCAGAAGATGGAGACTGGCCCCTTGCAATATGGTGGTTCATCAGACAAATCAAAGTCTGAAATCAATTACACTAAAGGCCTTCGAGTTGTTTAATTTTTTAAAGGTTTTTCATCAATTTGATGAACAAGGTTCCTATTTTTTCATAAATGTAAAGTATCTCCATAGCAGTTCATTATTATTGGTCTTTATTTCCATCTTTTCCTTGCCCATTCCACTGGACAAGCAACTCGGTTTATTTTAATATTATGAGTGTACAAAAACTTAATTTTTTTCATCATAGAAACTATTTTCCACAAACATAGACTATGAGGTTTTCCTAAAAATAAACCTTAATTAAATAAACAGAACAGCAATTTATCTATACACATTTGTTCAAGTTTCACATTTCCTCTCAAGGAACCAGGCAACCCATTCCGTTTATTCACCTCAAATTAAGGAACTTCGTATAAAAAAAAAATATATCAAGAAGAAAAACCGGGGTTTAACAAACAGTAAAGATAAAAGATCATTTCTTATATTCCAATCAGTTTGCAAGCAAAGTCACTGGACCAAATATAGGCGGCTGGAAGAGAACAATAAATCCTTCAAAAAGACCAGGAATGTGCTAGTTGCCCCTTAGAGCAAGCAAAGTCACTAAAAGACAGCGAGAGTGAAGTCCAAAGAAGCTATCAGAGATCTGCTAGAATACTGTTCAACCACCAGGCCCTGTTCACATTCACTATAGTTAGTGCCACAAATCTAGTCACCAAAACCACCAATGAAGAAATGAGAATGCTTCTACACAAACCAGCAGACATTACAGGGCACTGAAACAAATGCCAGCAACATTTTGACTGTAGTCAACTGAAAGAATTTTATATTGGAGAGACTAGTAAGACCATGAAAAGCTGGGTTTTTTTCCTCCTCGCTTTACACTTAAGGTTTTAACCTTTTCGCTAAAAGTATGGAAGTCCCATTTCTCACTTATGAAATGTATTGATCTCCAAATGTCTCCAAAAAATCGGTGAACATGTTGTGTAGTTAAGCGAATTGTTGATTTTTCTAGAGTCAAACGAGTGTCACTTGAAAAGTTAAATTTACTAAAGCGAAATTCACTAAAGACATGAAATTTACCCAAGTTATCCTGGACGACGGCAATAGCTAATTTCCGGTCTTTTTTCCATGTGGACGTTCTACTGCCAAGATACTATAGTCAGGTGGGTCATTACTTACAGAAGTTAGAGGAACATTCAAGAAGAAAGGGAATGTATAGATGACCAGCCTTACAGAAAGCGTGTAGAAACAGAAGCACTACCGACACATCCACCTATTTTGTATTCTGCTTTGCAACATTTTAAGATACTAGCTGATCTGTAACAGTGTGAGTTTAGGAAGAAAAATCCACAGTAAAAGCAAGCATGCCTCTGTAAAATCTCAACAATCCAGCCCCCTGCAATATCACCCATTCAGAAAACAGTCGAGTACTTGGAGCACAAAACAAGTATTTCCACTCCCTTTAAAACATTCCCCCGTAATAATCTACTCAGTTAATTTCCTGAAGTTGCATGCGATACAGCAGGCCTTTCGAGAGTGAAAATAATTTTCTCCCCTGTAGCAGACTTGGTAATGTGTTTAGACGCTGAAGCATCTGTATTCCCGAATTTGTCCCCATTTCTAACCAGGAAGAGGGCCCGCTAATATCTGAGATTACCAACTTCTTTAATTCAACGCCGGGATAGGTCAGGGTCTGCCTGAAACTTTTGGATCTAAAAGCTCTGCTGAAATCCACAAAGGGAGGCCACCAGGCATCGGTTGCCATTGTGATTTGGTACCGACCATAGCTTCTCACCACTCTCGCTTCACACCCTTTGCCCAGAACCGCGGAGCTCTCCGAAGTCCCCGGGCTGGACCGGAAAAGAGAAGCCCCACGGAGATCGCCCACCCTCTGGGCCCGTCAGGCGGCGGCTCCACGGAAGGGCCCCCCTTAGGCTCCCCCCATCCCCGTTCCTCGGCCACAACGAACACGTCAGGCCCGGATCCCCCCGGGGAAAGGCTCCGGAGGCGAAGAGATACAAGCCCTCGCCGTCCCTGGGCGCGCAGACCGGCCCTGTCCGCCGGGATCGCCTACCTGCCGCCGGCCATGGCCCAGCCCCAGCTCGCCCCGGCGGGGCTCGGTCCCCGCAAGGGCACCCGCCGCTCCTTCCCACAGGCGCCCGGCCCTAGGCGAGGCGAGGCGGCGGGGCCCGGGGCGGGGGGCTGCCTACAGGCCCGCAGTCCGGCCCGGCCCGCCCCGCCACCTCCCGCCGAGCGCGCCGGAGCCCCCGGGCGGGGCGCCGGGCAGAGGGCGCCGGCCTGCCGCCCGCGGAGGTCGAGAAGAAAAGGGAGGGAAAGCCGGGCGCCGCCGCGGTGGGCCCGGGAGCTCCGTACCTTGTAGAAAGCGCCATTGGAGCCCCGCACTTCCACCACCAGCTCCTCCATCTTCCCGTCAAGCCCGCTGGCGCCGGGAGCCCGCCCCGAGAGCTGGGCTGCGGGCGCTCGAGGCCCAGCCGCCGCCGCCGCTGCTGCCGCGCTGCCGCTCGCCTCCCGGCAGCGAGGCCGCCGTCGCCACTCCCGCCCGCTCCGGCCGTCCGCTCGCCGCCCGCTCGGAGGCGCCCCTCACCGGAACGGAAACCGAAAGGGAGCCGAGCGCCGGACTGAGGCCGAGCGCGCCGGCCGCCCCGCGTGTAAACAGGGAAGCCGCGTCACGTGACTACCGCCCCTCCCCCCCGCGGGTTCGGCCCCCCGCCCCGCCCGCACGCACCGCCCGCCTCGGCCGGAGCGCGCGCATGCGCGCACTGGCGCCCGGCCGGGGGCGGGGCCGGACGTCGGGCGGGGCGGGGCGGGGCGGGGCGGGGCGGGAAGGCGGGAAGGCGGGAAGAGCGGCGACGGGTCGGCCCCGCGGCCCCGGGTCCCGCGGCCTGGCGTGGCCCGGCGAAGGCCAGAGCGCCGTTCTGCCGAGGGGCCCGCGCAGGCCTCGGCCCGGGCTGCCTCGGCGGGGACGGGACTCTTGTTTCCCAGAGGAGCGCGCAGCCGGGTGCAGCCGCTGGTGCGGCGGGGTCGAGACACACGCGAAGACTAGCCGCGAGAGGACTGTGCTAGTGAGGTGGCCGCCGCGGGGACCCAGGCGGGGGTGAGCTTAGAGGCAGAAGGTGAGAGTGACGCCTCCTCCCCGGCCAGGGGTCGTGGTGTGGGCCGCCGCGGCCTCTCCGGGTCGGGCCCCGCGACCGCAGCCCGCCCTCGCTTCACACCTGCCCTAGACGGGACCGCAAGCGGCGGGGCTCCCGCGCGCCCCTCGCCAGACACCTCAGGTCCACCCCGCTCGTGCCCAGCCTGGCCAGAGGCTGAGCGGGCACGTGTGTCGCTGCCCCGCCACCCCTCCGCGGGGCCCCGGCCCGACTGCACTGCAACACCCCCAATGTCCCGTTCCTGCCCGCGCCCTCGGCCCGTCCAGCTCGGCGTAGGCTTCCTTGGGGAAGCTTGTGTGCAGCTGCGACGTGGACGGAGCCCGTCCCGTCACCAAACAAAACCCAGGACGCACATCGCAGCCGTGTACTGGGCACACAGAGGCGCAGGTCGACAGCCCGCCGTCAGAAAAGTACCTGAGGCCTGGCAGCCCTGCTGGGGGCCAGGATGAAGGCGCGTGCTCAGGAGGGGGGGACACCCAGCCCGGGGGAGGGGGAGGGGCAGAAAGAGATTGTGACTCCAGCTGAGGTGGGAACTGCCCTGCCAGGTGCTCCACAGCCAGAGGCGTCCTCGGGCCTCTGTTTGCACTCCCCTCTCAGCCAGAGCAGCGCTGTTGCTGCTGGTGGAGATTAAAGCAGCAGATCCAGGGCCTGCGTTTATTTTCCACATTCCTCCAGGCCACGATAATAGGCATGACCCCCTGGACTAGGATTTCCGGAGTGGTCATAAGATGCCAAGAGTTCAAGAGGACTGAAGGAGGATGTCAAGCACACCAGATACGAGCAGAGCTTGCCCTTTAGCCCCGACGTCATAAAAGCGGACCTGGTGACCCGAAGGGCCGGACCTGGCAGTCCAAGGTGTGTCCAGTTCACTCAGGGCCTCCAAATAGTGTCAGCTCTTCCCCACCGCCCTTCCTACCAGCCACACTGAACCCGGTGCTCTCCCTGGAACCTGTGCTGCGTTGTCATGCCTCCCTGTCTCAGCAAATGCTTCCTGGCACCCAGAAACAGCCAGCTCCTTAGGGTGACCAGCTGGATGCCTGTTAGCTGATTATTTCACCTCAGATGCAGAGAATGGCCTTACTTTAATTCTCAGCATATTGTCATCAGTCCCCACCATGCCCTATGACTTTATATTCCTTTTCCTTGTCTTTTTTAATCACCCCCTCACTCCCCTAGACACCAAGTGCAATACTTTTTCTTTAAATTTTATTTTATATATTTTTTACATCTTTTTCATTTTTGCACAATGTATGCATTTTCATCTTGGTTGTAGTCTCCATACAATTCCCACTCCCCTTATTTTGACCCCAGTCCCTCCCCCCCTCAGTGTGTCTCTGGTTTATAGTTACTTGTTAATTTTGATTTTTACTTTCTTATAGTTACTCTTTCTCCTGGTCCCTTACTTAGGTTTTCTAGATTCCTGCTATGAGTGAGACCATCCGGTATTTTTCTTTTTCTTTCTGGCTTATTTCGCTGAGCATGATCCCTTCCAGCTCCGTCCATGTTGCCGCAAACTTCATGTGTTTATCTTTTTTGATTGCTGAGTAATATTCCATGGTGTATATACACCACATCTTCTTGATCCAGTCATCTATTTTTGGGCATTTGGGTTGTTTCCAAAGCTTAGCTATTGTAAACAGTGCTGCTATAAACATAGGGGTGCAGGTGCCCTTTAGAATTAATGTTTCTGTGTCCATTGGGTAAATATCTAAAAAATGGGCAGAAGAGCTAAAAAGAAACTTCTCCAAAGACGAAATGCAAATGGCCAACAGGCATATGAAAAAATGTTCAACATCACTTGCAATCAGGGAACTGCAAATCAAAACTACAATGAGATACCATCTTACACCACTGAGAATGGCACATATCAAAAAAACTAGCAACAACAAATGTTGGCGAGGATGTGGAGAAAAAGGAAGTCTCCTGCACTGCTGGTGGGAGTGCACACTGGCCTAACCACTATGGAGAGCTGTGTGGGGATTCCTCAACCTGCTAAAGTGCAATCCTTTTTCATACAGATCCTTGATAACTTAAGATACTAGTACTTTGTGTATGGCTTTCACATTTATGCTGGACCATTACTCTGTTTCCTGCTGTTTTCACTCAGCACTGTTGTTGACCTATGTCCACATTGCTGTGTGAATGCCTCCTTGGTTGCTTCAGACTTCTGAGTATTCCATAGATTTTACTGATCCATTTGCCTAGCGAAGGACACGTAAGTGACCACCAATTCCCTAGTGGCACACCGCACTGAAAACCCTTGGGAATGTCTTTAAGACGCTGTGCAGCAGCTCCTTTTGGACTCCCAGCAAAACTTCTCACCTCCTCCTTCCTCGCCACACTGCTTGCCCATAGCAGGGACTCATTAAATGCCAAATGATCCTTAGGACAGTATGGTTGCTTATTTCTGTTTCCTCCCTTGAATTGTGAGTTTCTTTCATGCAGGAAAGATTCCTTCCTTACCTTTGTCTCCCTGGCACCATGAAAGGTGGTTAACTTTAACGAATGTTTGATGAATGAATACACGCCTTTCTTCACCACCTGTATAGCCTTGCACACTTAACTCTGAGGCTCAGTCTCACTCTACTGTCTAGCTCTTGAAACCCCCCCTTTCAAGAAAGCTCATCTGAATTCAGGTACCAGACTTAGCCCCGCTCAGGAACCTTCTCCTCTGATATTCTTCTCTCGCTCAGTCACTGCTAACCCCTTGTTCAAACTGGTTGTTCAGGCCTAAATCAAAATCATTTCCATCCTGGTTTTCTCTCAAGCATCCACTACATCAGCAAGCCCTTTCAAAGTCTGCAATGTATTCCTCACCATTTACGCTGTCAGAAATGTGATGCCAGCCCCATCCTCTGTTACCTGGGTTATTGCAACCACCTCTAGTCTCCCTGTAGCCACTCTTATGCTCTCACTGGCCTCCACTCAATACCGGTGTTAACCAAGTCATACTGACACTCAGACTCAGAATCCTAATGGTTCTCTAAATGCCTCAGGGTATAAGCCAAAGTCTTTATTATTCTGGCCCCAGTGTCCTTCACATGCTGGCTGCTAATCTCCATCTCACCTTCCACCTCCCTCTTTCATTCCGTTCCAGCCTTGCTGGCTTCTTTGCTGATTCTTGAAAACTCCAGGCAGCTTCTGTCTCTCCTCACTGAGGGTAAGCACTTGTAGAACAGAAAGTTTTATAACTCTTGTTTCTTTGATTCAGGGCTTGTCTGTGCCTCCCACTGTGCTGGGACACGGGTGTTTGGCAGTTCCGGAGTGGATGAGCCACGCGGATGAGTGCATGCGTGCTGAGGTCCTGGCTCAGGTCACTCTGCTCCCGTTCCTAAGTTTAGCCAATACTGGAATGATGATTCAGCACTTCTAGCCTTGCTTTGGCCTCTTGCTTCCACTATATTGCTATCTTTTGTTTCTGCATTGATTTATTCCAGGTTATTTCCTGCTGTCTTGCAACTTGAGACCAAGTGATTTTCATGCCTGAATCCCCACTGAAATGGCCTTTGTCCTACCCTACTCTAGAATCTAGGTGCCTTCTAGGATCCAGCTAGTTTCCCTTTTTCATGACACTGTCTCTGGCAGTTTCACCTCATTTTGTCCTCTCCTTTGAACTAAATATCAGGAAAAAGGGAAAAGTTCTTAATTAATAGTCTTTATGTTTTAGAACAGTTTTGATTTACAGGAAAATTGAGCACATACTCACGCATTCCCATATACTCTCCCAATACCTTAGGGTATTATTACTATTATTAGCATCTATTAGTGATATCTTGAATTAGCGTGGTACCTGTGTAGTAAGTCCATGATTTTTTTTACAGATTTATTTATTTATACATACAAGAACTGGGGTGTAGGCCAGAGGTGTGGAGGTGGGAGGATTCACCAGAGACAGAATGGGCAGATCCATTGAAATACACTGTTGAGGGGATCAGTGGGCGAGACAGTAGAGGTCTGCTGCGCCATGTGGGTAGCTCCCTGCCCGGGGATTGAACTCGTTCTACAGTGGCTGCCTATAGCTTGATAGTGCTGAGATTTAACCTTTTGTGCCACCAGGGATGCCCAAGTCTATGATGTTATTAAGTCTATGATTATGTTGAAGTCCATCTGTTTTACACTATTTATTTTGACGAATACATGTCAGACATGCACCATTAGAGTATCATATACAAAATAGTTCCTCTACCCTAAAAATCCCCTGTGGTCCACTTGCTCATCAGCTCAGTCCTCTAAGCCCTGGCAACCACTGTTTTGTTTTGTTTTACTTTCTTCATAGATTTGACTTTTCCAGAAAGATAGTTGGAATCATACAGTATGTGTGTATGTATGTATGTTTGTAGTCCCTTCACAGGCTTCTTTCACTTAGCAGTATAAATTTCAGGTTTCTACACATCTTTTTATGATTTGGTAGCTATGTATCTTGTGGATCAATTAAGATTAAGAAAAATAAGAGTTCATTTTACCATCATTTATTCCTTCTCAAATGCTCTTCCTTTCTTTATGCAGATTTGAATTTCTGACCTGTGTTACATTCCTTCTCTCTGAAGAACTTTTAACATTTCTTGCAAAGCATATCTCCTGGTTACAAATTCCACTGGATACAGACTTTTAGTTTTTTCTCCTCTTTCAACACTTTACATATTTTGCTGCATTCTCCTCCTACCTCTATGGTTTCTGATTAGTAGACAGATAATTCTGATTTTTATTCCTCCAGAGTAACTCTCCCCAGCCCTGGCTTCTTCTAAGTTTTCTCTTTTCTTTAGTTTAGATAATGCTATGTCTAGGTGTGGATTTTGGTATTTATCTTGTTACGAGTCCTCTGAACTTTCGGGATCTGTGGTTTGGTGTATTTAGTTAATTTTGAAAAAGCCTCGGTCTTTATTACTTGAAGTCTTTCTTTTGTTCCTTTTTCTGTTCTTCAGGTATTCCCTGATGCAAATATTACACCTTTTATAAGTGCTCCCCAATACTTGGTTATATTCTCTTTATTTTTGCCCACTTTTTTTTTCTTCTCACTTTTCGGTTTGGAAAGTTTCCACTGACATAATTTCAAGCTTATAGATTCTTTCCTCAGCCATTTCTAATCTAGTGATGAGCCTATCTAAGATATTCTCTGTTTCTGCTACAGTGTGGTTATATTAATTTTTATCATTTATTTTTGAGCCTTTCTTAGAGATTCCATCCCTCTGCTTACACTATTGTCACACATTATCTACTTTTTCCATAGCACCTTTAACATATTAATCATAATTGCTTTATGGGCCTCCCTGGTGGCGCAGTGGTTGAGCGCTGGGCTGCGAAGCTGCCCGCAGCCTCTGCAGTGCCGGTTCGATCCCCGGCTGCTCCCCGGCCACCGGAGGAGGGTCCCACATGGCGCGCAGACCTCTCCTGCCGCCCGCTGCTCCCCTCAGCAGTGTACCTCAGTCCTGCCTGTTCTGCTCTCCGCTCTGGCTCTGGTGAATTTTCTCATCCTCCCGCGCTTCTGACTGTACCCAGTGCTTGTATAAATAAATAAATAAATCTTTAAAATTAAAAAAAAATGATAATTTTGAAAAAAAATCTTAATTGCTTTAAATTCCCTATCTTATAATTCCAGTATTAGTGTCTTAAGTCTCATTTCTATGCTTGCTTTGTCTGTTCACACTATGCTTTTTCTTGCCGGTAAGCATGCCTTACAGTTTCTTGTTGAAATTTGGGCAAGACATATTGAGTAATAGGGACTGAATTAATTAGGTTTTTAGTTTGAGGCTTTATGTTAATTTCACTCAGAGCTGAATTGGTGTTTAATGTTTGTTGCAGCTGTAAGTGCAACATCTACTTCAGTTTCTTCTAATACCCTTGTTTTTGTCTCCTTT